TTTTTTTTCACCCGAGATAGTCAAAGTTGGGGAAGAAAATATCAAAAAGTTAAAAATCCAGAAATAGTCCTAATTTTATGATGGTTCCTTAATTTATTTTAACTACATTGCATTTGAGTATGGAGAGGCAACTATCTGGAAGTATTTTACATAAAAAATTTACTAAGTATTGCCCGGTTTGTAGTTGCAGTTAAAGAAAACACATGAAAAGGCACGATTTTTTTTTAAATTCGAAAAAATGTAAATATTTCAAAAACGGTGACACTTTTACCTTAAAATTTTTTGTTTATCAGTGAGCTCACCCCCCCACCTACCTTGCCCTAAAGTTTGGCACGTTACTTCTGGGACACCCTGTATATAGGTATATGAATAACGTAGTTGCATTAGAACAAAAACAACATTTATGTGTATTTTTTTGATGCTTCTGGTATACTTTTGATATCAATTCCAGTCTATTACATGTGTCCCAAGTTTTTCATTTTCAATCTCATAAATTGTTTATAATAACTTTTGCAACTTTTAAAATCAAAAGTTATCAAAAGGCTAATTCCATTGAAAAGAGGAAAACGACATAAATTTAAAGATGCCCTAATTATCCCTATTTCAAGAGTAAACTCTTTTCCAATGGCAAAAATTCAATAGTCGGTTGGAAAATATTAAAAAAATCTAAAGGTGTAATTTTTGTGTACGGAAACTTTCAAAAGGGGATATCCCACCAGTCACAACCTTGAATAGTTTTTAATATTTCTATGAAGATTATATACACCTCATTTTTATAGAAACGAAAGCGTATAATTCATACATATTTTACAACACAAAAACATCGTTCGTAAATATTAAGTGTTTTGCCTAAAAATCAACTTTGAGTGCAGAAGGGTAAAATAGAGTTATTTTCAGTGTCCCACAAGACAAATTTATGCAAATGGTAGTTACATAAAACTAAGAAATCGTTTGTATTTTTGTTAAAGCTATTTTATACATTAGTTATCGTTCTATGTTAAAAAATATCTTTCGCTGTTATATAAGTTCCGACGACATATTTAAAATTCACAATTGGTCACATTCTGGAATAAAATGTCCCACCAGTCACAATGGAATGGCCCAAAACAAATTCTAATGGACTGCGAAAAACTATTTTCTACTTTTTAGTTCATTTATAGAAACGTGGTATAGTATGTATTTTATTTTTTTTCCTCAACACTTGGCAAATTTTGGTGCAGGATGGCCGCAACTGTTCCGCACGCATAATGCGTACTAGCTGACCAACACGATCAAAAAGTAGGCAAATACAATGTACAATTTTACCTTTTTCCGACGTTTACTGACTTAAAGATACATTAGGTACAATCACTAGATTTTAGGTACAATCATATTTTGATAATATATAATATATACTTGTACACCCCACACAAGGCAAAAGTTACGATTTAGCTGGACAAAAATAATTAACTAATAAAATTGATTTGGATGTGGGACCATGGATTAGTTTTCTCTAAATTATTATTACCCTATTGGCAGAGGGCCTCGGGTGTACGAATTTGTTGTAACGCCAGGAGTTGAAGACTTGCTCCAGCTGCTAAAATTTCCACCAATCCCGTCGCAAGCAGATTTCCCATGTCAACTTGCAACAAAGATCAATTCTGCCATTTCCTTGAAAGTTAATAGGATTTATTCATATTGTTTTTGTTTTTTACACACCTTTCCTCTTTCCATAAAAATACAATTTCATAAAATTTCAATGTATATTTGTCATATTGTTATAGCACTAGACGATCTAGAGTCCATACGCCTTCGTAGCCCATTACGCCCATTTGTAATCAAAAAAAATAAATAAAATAAAAAAGAAAGTGTTTACTAATTTCTTTTATACGTTGGACATTAATACAACAAATTTATATTTAAAGCCCACAATAAGACGGAAGAAATACATATTTTTCATTAAGTTCCGTTAAAACGTTTCCAAGATACAGCACTTTAAAGAAAGGTATGTATGAAGTTTTCTTAAAATTTAAGTCCCGTGTAGATAGGCAACCCTACGTCATGTCGGCAAAATATGCTGCGCGTATATTCATGTCACCTATTTAGACCTTCAATCTCTTCTACTTTCATCCAAATCTTTAGAGGTCGCGCACAGAGGTAGCCGCGGTGACATGAAATGCCTCATTCATAAATATTTATTTTGAACAAAGAGAAAGCGATTGATTTCAAAAACAATTATTTTGTAATTTATTTCATACAAATTAATTAATTAATAAAAGTTATCTGTATTATAACACTGTTCAACAGCATTTTTGCAGAGAAAAAATGGTATATTTCTGAAAGAAGTAGTAATGTTGATAATTTTTTTAGGACAAAAGTGTGTAGTGTAGGCAGGCCCGTCCAGAGGGAGGTGAGAAAGGGGTGAATCCTCCCGGGCCCGGGCTTATTAAGTGGCCCAAAATATCAGAACCATAACTTTTGATTTTTTACAATGTAATTGCTCCTTCGTTATAGGCTTTTATTATAGAGTAAGTGCGGCATATATGGCCCATGTGTATAATATGGCCCACCTGAATATCTTCCCAGCCACAAAGTCAAAACATCACACAGTGACTTCGCTCCACACATATTTTAGCAGAGCACGATTCAGTGTTATTTGACGAGTGTGGTGAAACAGATGTGCGCACTATTGCACGAAAATTATTTTTTGGTGGCAACTTAGTATTTTTTGGTACGTTTTCGTAAAGTTTTTTATGTTTAATTTTAATTGAAAAATATGTTTTGGGGTGTTAAATATATAGTGCTTAGACCGTTATTTCTTGAAGTGGAATCCAATTTCAATAAATAACTCGTGAAGTGTGCATAAATGAAAAAGCAGTGAAAAATGTATAGTGCGGGTAATATGGCCCATTAAGATGTTGATAATATGGACCAGTGGGCCATATTTGACACGTGTTTCATTCAACGTCGGTAATAATAAATAATTTTCTTTTGAAGGACAATAATGGCTCCAAAATCAAGTCCAGCTCCGAAAAAACGTCAGACGTGGCGCAAGGAAAACATGATGGAAGCAATTTCCGCTGTAAAGACTAAACAAATGGGATTTTTGAAGGCATCTAAGGAGTACAACGTACCTAAAACCACGCTGCGGCGTTTAGTGGCAGATGAGGGAAGACCTGTAGAGGAAGTAGTGGCAGCTAAACTTGGGAGAAAACCCATTTTCCCACCTGAACTCGAAGATTCTCTTGCCGAGTATATACTGCTTATGGAAGCGAAACTGTTTGGATTAACACAGAATGATATACGATCCTTGGCATTTCAATTGGCTGTAAAAAATAGTTTACCAAACTCGTTTTCAGTGATAAAAGAAACAGCAGGAAGAGACTGGTTACGTTTATTTCTTCGGCGCCACCCATCTCTGTCGTTCCGTCAACCAACCAGCACATCTGTAGCCCGAGCAAGAGGGTTTTCGAAGGAAAACGAGGCAGTTTTCTTTGATATGCTTGAAAAGGAAATGACAACATACAATTTTTCCCCTAATAACATCTACAATGTAGACGAAACTGGAATATCCGTTGTGCCAGCCAAAATGCCGAAGGTTTTGGCTCTGAAAGGCCGCAAACAGATACGTGCTCTTGCTTCAGCTGAAAGGGGATCCTTAATTACTGCCATTTTGTGTATGAGTGCAGCTGGATCGTTCGTGCCACCAATGTTTATTTTCCCCAGAAAGAGGGACAATCCTCTTCTTATGAAAGGAGCACCTCCGGGATCGATACATGCTAATCATCCCTCTGGATGGGTTCAAACCAATTTGTTTAGTAAATGGTTCAAGCACTTCCTTGCTACCGTTAAACCTTCTGAATCATCTCCTGTGTTGCTCATTTTAGACGGGCATACAAGTCACACAAGAAACATTGAAATCATTGAGCTAGCTAGAAATAACCACATTCACATTCTTTCGATTCCTCCACATTCAAGCCATAAAATTCAACCTCTTGACAAAACTTTTATGGGGCCGTTAAAAAAATATTTGACCGAGGAAATAAGGTGCTGGGCCATAAATAATGCAAAAGCATTAACACATTTTGACATTATTGAATTATTTGGTCGATCTTACATGAAAACGCAAACTGGAGAAATTGCTGTGAAAGGTTTTTCTTCAACCGGAATATGCCCCTTTAATAGAAATATTTTTAACGACCACGACTTTTTGGCGGCAGAGGAAGTTGAAGCACCGATAGATTGCATGGAGGGTACAGTTACGTCTTCATTACCAACCGTACAAACCTCTGAATTGTCGCAATCAGAACACAATTCCGATGTAGTAGAACCCATTTCTTTCGAACCGTCTACGTCCTCTGGTATAAGATCAAGCTCTTATATAATGCCTCAAGAGATTTCCCCGATTCCGGTACGTATCAAGAAAACTTCAAACCGCGGACGAAAAACAGGAAAAGCAGAACTAATTTCATCATCATCATACAAGCAGGCTTTAGAAGAATCTCTGAAGAAAACAAAGGGTGAGAGACATGTCAAGAAAAGAAAGCCAAAACTTGAAAAAGGCACAAGAAAAGAAAACGTTTTAAAAACGAAGGTATGAACTTAGATAGAAACTACGAAATAAATACAAAAATACTAATTTACTTCAAACTTATTTTTCAGAAGAAAAGTCAACGTGTAGAAGAAAATACTTCATCAGAAAGTGACGACAACATCGTCTTAAATGACTCGCCAGATCTTAGTCCAGACAGATCTAATCAGGAAGATGCCAAATGTATCTATTGTTCAAGTTTATTTTCTGACGATAAAAGAGGAGAAGCATGGGTGCAATGTGTTATATGTACAATGTGGGCACATGAGCTATGTTCCGGGAACGAAAAAAAAAGTTTTATTTGCGATTTTTGCTGCTCATAAAGCGAGTAAAATATGGACCACCCTAGTCCATATTTAACGCGCCATGGTCCATATTAACCGCACATTTTTGCAAAGTGCTAAATTGAAGTTCATTTGATTTTTCCATTGTATCTTTTATTTGTGTTATTTTTCTGAACATTGGTTATTGGAGACTGATTTGATAATATTTTTAACGCCTTTTAAGGTAACAAATAGATGAATTAAATTTGAGTTCGCAGTTTTATTGCCAAAAAAGTTAAGGGTGGGCCATATATACCGAAGTTACTCTAAATATATTCCTATTCATGCTGATTGTTTCTGACTATAAATAAAAGAAAATGATCATATGGCCAAAAACGCGTACTATTACAATAAGTTTTGGCTCACAGTGCTTTTCAAATACCGCTCAAACTCGCTACAATACTACTTTCGGATAGTTTTTCCTCTTCAATAAGTATGTGGCAATATTTAATATATGCCTAAAATATATTGTGCCTCCTGTTGTTTAGGAGTTATAAATGTTTCAACAGCGGACTGTTACATTAGGATTTTTGGAAGTACTTTTTAAAACTGCTTTATATTATCGAAAAAGTCTGCTCTCCTTATATAACTCAAGAACTACGTATTTATTGAACTGATAAAATTAATTTTGACGTCAATACTGTTACGTTCAGAGTTGGGCATTATTCGAATAAATTGTTATTTAGATAATTATTCGAATAAAATTTTATCCGTAATATAATTATTCGCAGATAACTTATTCACTAATAAATTATTCGTGTATAAATTGCTTGCGAATAATTTATTCGTTATTTTAAATAATGAATAAAAACTAATTTTTAACACATTGAGCCAACTTTTACTTTTATTTCTATTGTCAAGGATTGTAAGTTAGCTGAATTTTGTTTACTATTTTATCAAGAATATTAGCCCATTCCCTCTGGTTTCGCGGCCCCTGATAAGATTTTTTGCGTTGGCCAATGCAAGAATAGCGTTGAAAACCAAATATGGGTAAAGTAAAAATTCTCACACATATTTCTGCCAAAAAAATAGCGCTCTGATGCTATATGCAAGAAAAAATTCCTTTCAATGTCATGAGCTTTACCAATGGTCTTATTTCCACTTGTGAGATCTCTTCTAAGCGTGCGTAATCTTCTTCTATGATCTTGCAACTACAACATTGGTCCGATGCGTCAACCTCTAGTCTTATGTCATGTAGGCCAACAAAAGTCCTTATAAGGATGGTGAAGAGCACAGATGTGCGTATTCTATTATAGGAGAGCCAAAAATCCTCGATGTAAAATTTGGCCATTGATATAGGAATTGGAAGGATGTGGTCGAAACTTTCCTTGCTGATTCGCCACTTTTAAAATATCCAAGAGCTGGTTTCCTTGAGTCTTACTGCTACTGCAATGGCCGCCCGAGCAATTTCATAAAGCGGAGGTAGATGCAAGGTCGCACGACGTGGGACATCGTAAATTCGTATAATATAAACATAAAAAACAAAGGAGTCCAGACATATGGGGTTTCTAGAGATTTCGACTGCAGCACCATTATGAATTGCAACCTGATTGTACAATAAGTAGGGATTTTCTAAATAACTCAACTGTAGCGCCACCTAGCGGGTCCATTTTTCGCATAAGTCTTTTTCATCATGCAGGAAGAACACATTTTGAGTTTGAACGAAATCAGTTCATAAATACGGCTTTTATAAATAACTCGGCTCCATCGCCACAAAGGAGTTTTCTAGTAGCCTTTAATAGGACTTTATGCGCATGGAATAACCTCCGAAAATTTGATTTAAATCTATCTAGGGGTTTGAGTTAAATAACAACAACGAAAACGGTTATCATTTTATACATAAATATATGTACATATCTATATACATAAATTACTTGTTTTATTATTATTTTATTCGTTATTCGAATAACTAATGAAGATAATAATTATTCGAATAACGAATAACATAATTTATCCGTCATTCGAATAATTTTTTTTTGAATAAACAAAATTATTTATTATTTACGAATAACAAGAAAAACAATTTATTCATTTGTTATTCGTCATTCGAATAAATTTTGCCCAACACTGATTACACAGGCCTGCGATCTAATTTTTCCCATTTCCAATAGGGATGTCAGTGGGAAAAATACTTCGATAATTTTCAATGCATCGGAGGGCGTACATCGATGCATCGATAAGCATAGTTTTCCTACTCTGTGGAAAAAAAATTTTCAAACAATTTAACAAACTTTTATTTTGATGTACTTACAGTTATGCTGAGTCCAACAAGTGTTCACGTGTTGATTTTCTCCTCCATCGATGGCATCGATGCATCGACTATTGTCGAGTGGACAATTTTCGATACATCGAATCAAAATATCGATATTTTCGATGCATCGATGTTTTGATCTATTATTTGTATTGGCCAAATAATAGGCATAAGAACGATTATGAGAAATGTAAACATAAGAGAACTGCCAAAGCTAAACTTCAAAATGGGGGGGATTGCAAGATGAATGTACGTAACCAATAGTTATTCAAGACACGAACCATTACATCAGTATAGACACGAATTGACATGGCCACTATGAAAACGCCCACACTGACATACGATAAAAGAATCGGTGGTCACATACCACGGGGCGAGAAAAATATATTTCCTTTTTCCGAATTGGACACGGAGCGAACCACACTCTTCAGCCCTCGCAAGAACGGAATTACAACCAAGGAATTAAAGTGTATTAAAAGCTTGTATTAAAAGCTGGCAACATTCGGGGAGTCGATACTCACCCCTCAGTGGAAAGTGGAAAGTGAAATCGACTGCGTCCAAGCAAATAAAGGAAAAAGGCTGAATGTAAAAAGCCTTTTTTTCTTGTATCGAGTTCATATAGGCAAAAGGTGCCGTCACATTCCTTCCGGAAAATCCCCATCCATGTTGTTGCGTAGAATAAAGAAGTTGTGAGCATCAAATCTGGACTATTCATTTGACAGCAATTGAGTCACCATAAGCCGGTAATACAAAATCATTACACGTAAGTCAGCCACTTTCTTGCCACCATCCATTGGAAACGAGCTATCCATCTACCGTAAATAAAGATTCCTGTTTGGACCGACAATCTAAGGTCAAGCAAATCATTGGCGCCCAACTAAACGGGTGAAAAAGAATAAGTTTTGTTGAAAATAACCACACTTAAGCCCGGCATAAAATAACCGCGTGATCAGCTGAGGGAATATAGAGATTTCATCATCGAATCAATTTAATACATCATAAAATTAGATTTAAGGAAATATTAAAATCTTTCAGTCGTTTGGTTACAAAATTGTACGTCGGTCAACCATATATATTCGGATTTAATAGATTTTTGATAAATGTTTTCTTTTAGAAATTCCGCTATTATAAATCATCATTGAGATTGAATCAAATACATAATTATCTTTTGAATTCAAAATCACTGTAAATCAATATCGTCCTCAGTCTTCACACGGCATGATTTAATCGATTTTTATTGGAGCTCGTTTTCCTTCAAAATTTTTGTGGATATTTTGATTATTTATTTCGCGGGGGTCATAACCATTCTCGTTCAGTTCAGTTCGCCAATTCTGAAAAGCAAGTTAATTGAATTTTTTTAGTCAAGTAACACCACACATCGACGGTCAAGGTTTTTGAACCGATAATTTTTCATTTCGTCTTTCGGTATAAGTTTAAGCAACGTAACCGATAACACGGTCAATATTAATTGAACCAAACTATTATTTTTTTGTAATTTCCCATCATTCCCAATAAGATTTGAAACTCGTATCAAATTAATCTCGTTTAACATTCTCATACTGGTTGAATATTCTTAGTCTGATTTGGTCTTGCGGTAAATTCGGGGGTGGATAGTCTTGATCTTTGTTGCGTACCTTGTTGGCGACAGAAGGGACCGAAGGAGATACAGCAAATACTCCCAAGTATTCAAGGCCTTCGCTGCATCCCGGGAGCAAACAACTTGGTCCATAAAAAGATTCGAGCTAGTTCGTTAAACGCCATTCTCAGCCCACGTTCGGTATAATACTAAACAAAATTTTGGACCGAAAATCACATGGGATATACGACCAATTGAGCGTGAATTTTTTGTTAAACTAATTAGATTAAAAGCAATATTCAAATAGTGATTGATTTATGCGGCATTATTTTTTAAAATTGGATGTTCAAAACTAACATAGATTGGTTTTCGCTGATTAGGCCCAATCATAGAATAATAATAATAATAAACTGAAGTAAATGCGGTATTGATTTTAAATCGAGTACCGCCATCTTATAACCCAGACCATAATAGTACGGACTTTACGTCTACCGTTGGTAGAATTTTTTAATAATCTGAATTTACAACGTGGTACTTGAGCCTTTGAACATGGAATTGTTTCCCATTCTCGATGCAACTTATTTGACAGACGAACAGCGACAAATCGAAGGGGAGATATATAACCTATATCCAACGCCGGTTCAATGGACCGACACCGAAATAGCCGCTCTCAATGGTAAAATATCTGCTTACGTTGGCCAACCATGGTTGATAAAATCCCGTGCCGTACACCCAATGAGTGAGTTGGAAATATGTGAGAGAGCATATCGGGAAGTGGAAGCGAATGAAGTGTTAACATCTCAGGGTCGTCTTCATCACATGATACATTATTGCTATCGAACCGCTCAGTTAAAGTTAAAACCCGAGTCGGCTATACGCCAGACAGATCTGATCGGAAAATTTCAGTCGAAGATTCGTGAACTTCGGATGTCTTCACCGAATACGGGAATCCCGTTGGGCGATTCCCGATCAAGTTTGAACTCGACCTTCCATAGTTTTGAGTATGAACGGGGAACGATGAGTTCAACTCAAGATACTGTTCCATCCCAATATTTACCCTTAACCATACCAGATTCGATTCCAAACCCGAATATACCGACTTCGCTTCAGGCAACTGAACCACGATATACCCTGACCACTAGTACGGTTAACTCAAATCCTCTACCAGCCGTTCTCAATTCAGTGTCAGGCGGGACGGAACCAACACCCTCATTACACCAACTGTCCGAAATGGTGTCCGTCAGCGGATTCATATACAGACACCAATCCCTGACGTTCGTGACATGCACCAAACCATGCCAACGACCCGGAATCATACCTGGATACCACGATCGGTGGATCCTCCTTATGGTTCTTTGGCTTGTCCTTCAAACTTACAAACTCAAACGATCAATACCTATCGTGGTCTTAGAACGTCACATATCCAAGAACCAATTAATCAACCATCTCATTTATATCAGAACTATTCGCTATCCGGTCCACCACAACCACGACCAAATCAAGCCACTGTATTCGACGAATCTGCCCAAGCGGATGCAATGGATAGGAAATTCAGAGGCTTACCATCATGGATGGGACGTGCTCAATTCGATGGCGTTCATGTGAATGAAAAATTTCAATCGGTTGAAGATTATTTGGCTATTATTGGCTCATTTCGATATAAGATTGCAGTACCCGACCTTGAATTGGTTACGCGTTGGGTACCCACACTCACGGGGGCCGCTCGACAATGGTACTTCACCGAACTGAGAAACTTTGGAGATTATCAAGATTTTTGCACGAAACTTCGTGCTCGTTTCCTCAACAAAAACATACTCGGGCCCAAGTAAAAATGTCATATGCACAGATTAAATTCGAGCCACGTTCGCAAACACTGCTGAACCAGTTCGATGACTTGACATTCCAATTGCAGGGTAATTCCTGTGGTCTGGATGAACGGGACCACCTCGATATCATCATTGGTACCTTATCCGGTCATCTGCGTGAACTCGTCCACACTCGAAAAGGCCACACGTTGGAGCAATTGCGTGAGTTCGCTCAGCGAATTGCACCACATTCGTTCATTGTTGCCACACCCCGTCTGGAAAGAACTCGTTCGGATAGACAGCGATCAGCGCCACGGGAAATTTCGGCAATGCATGATTCACCGGATGAGTCTTCACATTCGGAATATACCGCTTCGTTTCCTGGATCCGACTCCGATGACAGGGAATGTGCATACGTGAACAAGCAAAAGAAACCAATTAAAGCATCTCAAAAACGTAGGTATTCGAAACCAGTCGAGGATTATAAAAATGACAAAAATCCAAAGGGGAATGATACGAAAGTAGGAACTATCGTCGACCCTTTTCTCGCTGTTGAGGGCGACGAAAATTTACGATGTGCAATTGTCTCGTGTGGGGCCATCACTTCAAAAGGTGTCGAGCCCAACCGAATAGGGTGATCTGCTAAAAATGTACACGACCGGGGGTTATGTCTGATCAATGCCCGTGTTCAAAAAACGCGTAAGGGAGTCGATTGGGAATAGTGGTCCATCGTACTCAGAATCCACAACCTTTTCTAAATCCACTGTCTCTAACAATCCACGGTGGACCTGAACCAACTTTAAATCGAAGGTCATAGCACATCATATTTTTTGGCTAATTTGTGTTAATTGTGTTACGAATAACTTGTAAAAATTGTATAGCCCATAACTTATCGAGCCGTTTTTGAAAAGAACTCATTTTGAATGAAAATTATTCCTTTTCTTTTAAAATTTTCACGCACCCGCTCTAGATGACAAATTGATACATTACAGTTTATATTTATTTTGTAATGTAACTTGTACGATTTATATACAATCAAGTTAGTAAATGGTTCTAGTGTCTTAGCTTGTTTTATGCGCAAAATGCCGATAAATTCAATTCAAATGAGGAGATTGTGCGCGCACAACATTTGTTCTTTTTAAGTTTCGAATATAAGTATTCTTTATACTTGCAATAGTTTTAGTCAAGTATATCTACAAAACAATAACATGTTTGCAAGACCAAAAGACCATGCATGCATGTAGGCAAGGGTCTAGGATTCTATAGCGAGCAAGCTTTAGAATCCCTACATTCCGACTTTAAAGCAACTGGGACAAATATAAAGTATTCGTCAAGCATCCGGAATATCCATCTAAATTACTGAGAGCAGTACAAGAATACAATGCTCAACATGTATAAGCCACTGTTTAAAAAATTTAAAGGGTTGTATGTAAAACACCATGCTGCTCGCCTGTTAGTTGTCCAAAAATACATATATAATCTATATATAAATACGCTACAAGAAAATTTTGCAATCCCTTTTTTGAAGGCACCGTTCCTCCAGAAATGTTAACCCTAGTTATATAGATAATTAGATACTATTCGGTAAAAATTTCGTTTAGAGTATTTCTACGTGGTAAGTGCTTCTCCATTATTTGGTTTCATAGGGATTTGGATACCTTCCTCATTGAAGTAGTAAAGAAAATTCGCTTAAGTGCCTTTTTCGGTTAAGTGCACAAGTTTTTCGTGCAAAGAAGGATGTGCAGCTAAGCAAAATAT